ATACAATCTATCCTGCGAGTTAAAATAAGGCTAGAGGCAGTTCGCTCAGAAACCAGGGTAGCTGCAGGTTTTCCTCGCGTGGAAATATCCTCTTTTGGAAACAAGAAATAGGAAATCCACGCACATAACCAATCAGAATTAAGAAAAAGATATATAATGATTGGTCTCCCTTCGACCTTCAGTGACGTGGATTGGGGGGCGGGGGGCGTAGGGGAGGGTATTACTGCTAAGTGGTCCTGGGGGGGGGGGAGGGGTCTTCCTGGAGGCGTGGCCGAGGGTGGTAGTCCCTACCCAGAGAGAAAGGAGTAGGGAGGGGGAAGGGGGAAGAAGCTCCTCCCAAGATTGGGTCGTCGTGAAAATCCTCGAACAGTCGAGGCAGCGACATGACAGCGCAGGGACGTACGACGGCGGCGGTCGGGTCCAGCATGTTGCCTTGGAGGGTGGTTCTCCTCGTCTTGGCTCTGCACGCGGGGGCATCTCGGGGACAAGGAGATGGTAAGATGCAACGGATGCCTATGCGAATGCACCATTTCGTATTCACGTTTCGATCATCAGAGGTTCTCCATTTGCGCGTTGCTGTAACCGGTGCGTTGGTTTCAAAATATTATAACGTAAACCTTTGTGCGTTAGTGTGGCCGGCTCCAAATCGGACTGGCTTGTTGAGAATACTGTCGAAGGATTAATGCAGATTTTTTTCTGGTTTTACATTATTTCTGATTCCATTATAATCTGCCAAGAAAACCTTCTAGCAGCAGGCTACAGGGTAATCCTTTACAGTACGGACGCACACGCCAGTCCCCAGCTCCATATCACGTTATTTGTCTAATCTGCCGTGACTGGACGTACCCTTCAGGCACTGCCGAGGAGAGTACTGATGGGGGAGGGGGTGCTCCGACCCCGAACGACCCCCGGCAAACATTCTTTACCTCGACATGCATGGCAGAATAGAGCTGAAACTCGGGAGCGCCAGGTGGACTTTAGGCTACAAGCGGCGCTGTCCGAAGTCTTCCTTCATTTGTCTTTTTTTTTCTTTTCTTTTTTCTTTCTTTGACTACAACTTTTTGTCCTCTACAAGAATATTTCTAATTTGACTCGGCTTTTGCGTCCATACCGTAAGGATTATCCGCCTCTTTGCGCCACTTTCACCTTGAACGGAGAACATGACATGTGCGCAGATTAGGGAGGGCAGGCTATGCACGCAGTCACTAACGTAATTCCACGTTTATCGCGGGTCTTGATCGGAATTGGGAGTGTGAGAGGGAGGGATGCGATCCTAGGTTACAAGAACTGCATTTCCACTGTTCTATGTATGAGGAATATTCAAATACCTTCACATGACCGATCACGACTTAATATGCAGGACATTTCCCGCAGAACCGCCTTAATTCCCCAAAGTCTTCGCCCCCGTAGGAGGGCAGCCTTTGCAGGGTACTGAGAAATTACGGGTTGAAATATGATTAATGTACTTTATTATGATGGCATTCACCTTATGTGCCACAATGTCTGACTGTACGGGGGCTAACTCCACCCTGGAACCAGTAGCCCCTGGGAGCATTATAGGGGGTACAGTTCCCTGCATTTGACAATATATTGACCAATTCTTTATATGTTCATATAATACCCCGCAATTTCCTACCTAATGTCCATATCCTCCCTCCCCTGCTATCAGGACCGAGTTATATATATGGGTGGGGGTGTCCGCGGCATAATTTGTGTGGGGATAATGTTGGTATTTTAGTTTCACACAGCCATCCAATCTTGCAATTATTCCTTTCGATTATAAATGTTGTAATATACGTGAATCTCTTAATTTCCATCGCACTATATTATAAAGGAAGTATTGGTCATGTTTACGAAGTGACCTTGCCATTGTCCCCATTACTCTAGCCACTCCTGGGAAATCCACAAACATCGCCGTATGAAACACACTACCCATTCGGTCTGGTGTTACTCCACGCGGCTCGGGTAGTTTATCAGGGCCCGCGTCGGGTAGGGAGAAACGGCGCTCGATAAGGGCTGTTTTTGGTTCAAACAACGATTATTGTGGTAGTAAGGATGGAGCACGTTCCTTCGTTCAATCTCCGACCGGCTTTTACTGCCCCCTCCTCCTCCAGCGTGATAAAGAATAAATGAACTGTAATTGTTTGCAAGGTTACTGTATCCCTATTACCTCAGACGGCAACTTTGGGACTCCTGGGACCCCCACAAACCTCGCCGTGTGAACCGAAAATCTCCCTAACGCGCCCCCCCCACCCCTCCCATTGTCCATGACTCCGCGAAGCAACTCTCGACCGATCCTCATTTCTCATTCGTTGCCTGCGCTCAGTTTCGCATATGAGTGCATTTTTCCCTCTTTATAATAAATGTCCTACAATTTTTCCCCAACTAATTACGGTCATTATGTAAATATATATCGAGTCTATTTTGAGGAAATGTTAAGGATTTGTCAATTTACTGCGCTTCTGTTTTCCGTCCCTGCATGTTAGTTGTGTCAGCCGGTGCATAGCGTAATGGGCGGTAGGCAATGTCGATACGGTGGGCGTATTATGATATTAGGTTTAGACACCGTGGTACAGTGACCTCTTATCTTGTGCTTCCGGCCTAACCTCTCCGGTCATTGCCCAGCGCCCAGACGGAAACACGAGGGCGGCTGTGGCATGTGGGCGGGGTTGGGGTAAGGGGTGGGGGTGGGGGGATGCAGGAGGGGGTGCTCGCTCTCCGTCTTGCCCTTGCTTTCTTTTTTTTTTCTTTTTTTTTTACATTTACGCTAGCAGCAATTTATAAGTTTCTCGTTTCATTTTTTAAGGCATTCACCTTTCAAAATTAGGCAGTTGGCACAGTCACCCTTCTAGTTTCTTTTATTTCCCCGTTCATTTATTCTAAAACTTTTCCCACGTTCTTTATCGGCGTTTTACTTTTTCTTCGCTCCGTCTTCGGTGCCGCTGCTGTATCCCGATGTACTCGTATTTATTTATTATATTTATTTATTAATAACTATGATTTTCCGCTGTCCCTTTCCCGGGCACTGTAAAACTAGGCAACATCGGCATGAATGTTTTACGCCACGATATGTATAGAGGAATGCTCATAGTAAAACAAAATGTCAGAAACGCAATATAAATTAATATTGCGTTTCTGTCTACCTTGCGTCTGCCGCTCGGCCTTCGTTTTATTCTTTTCTTTTATATTGTTTTTTACTCCGTTTCCCGTTTATCTTCTTTGGTGCACCTCCCTCGCCCTCACCTCATCCCCCCTGTCCCTCCTGTCCCCTCTTCCTCCTTCCTCTCCTCCTCCTCCTCCCCTCCCTCCTCCTCTCCTCCTCCTCCTTCCACTCCTGTCCTGTCTCCCTCTTCTCCTCTCACTCTCTGTCCCTGTCCCTCTTCCTCTTCCTCCTTCACTCTCTGTCCCTGTCCTCTTCCTCTTCCTCCTTCCACTCCTGTCCCTGTCCCTCTTTCCTCCTTCCACTCCCTGTCCCTGTCCCCTCTTCACTCCTGTCCCTGTCCCTCTCCTCCTCCTCCTTCACTCACCTCTCCCTTTCCTCTCTGTCCTCGTCCTCTCCTCTCTTCTCCCTCCTCCTCCTCCTCCTCCCTCCTCCTCCTCCTCCTCCCTCCTCCTACTCACTCCCTGTCCCTTTCCTTTCCTCCTCCTCCTCACTCTTCTTTCCCCTGTCCTGTCCTCTCCTCCTCCTCTCCTCCTCCTTCTCATCCTCTCCTCCTCCTCCTCCTCCTCCTCCTCCTCCTCCTCCTCCTCCCCTCCTCCTTCACTCCCCTGTCCCTCTTCCTTTCCTCCTCCTCACTCACTCTTCCTTTCTCTCTGTCCCTGTCCTCTCCCTCTCTCCTCCTCCTCTCCTCCTCTCCTCCTCCTCCTCTCCTTCCTCCTCCTTCCTCCTCCTCCTCCTCCTCTTCCTCCCTTCCTCTTCCTTTCTTCTCTCCCACCCACTCTTCTTTCCTCTCTGTCCCTGTCCCTCTCCTCCTCCTTCTCTCCTCGTCTTCCTCCCTCCCTTCCTCTCCTCTTCCTCCTCTCCTTCCTTCCTCCTTCCTTCTTCCTCTTCCTTTCTTCCTTCCTCTTCTCCCTCTTCCTTTCCTCCTTCCTCCTCCTTCTTCTCCCTCCCTTCTCTTCCTCCTCCCTTCCTCCTTCCTCTTCTCCCTTCTTCCTTCCTCTTCCTCCCTTCTTCCTTCTCTTCCTCCCTTCTTCCTCCTCCTCCTCCTTCCTCTTCCTCCCTTCCTCCTCTTCCTCCCTCCTTCCTCTCTTTCCTCCCTCCTTCCTCTCTTCCCCTCCTTCCTTCCTTCTCCCTCCTTCCTTCCTCTTCCTCCTCCTTCTTCCTCTTCCTCCCTTCCTTCTCTCTCCTCTCCTTCCTTCCTCTCCCTCCTTCCTTCCTCTTCCTCCCTCCTTCCTTCTCTTCCTCCCTCCTTCCTTCCTCTTCCTCCTCCTTCCTTCCTTCCTCCTCTTCTTCCTCTTCTCCTCCTTCCTCCTCTTTCCTCCTTCCTTCTCTTCCTCCCTCCTTCTTCCTCCTCTCCTTCCTTCCTCTTCCTCCCTCCTTCCTTCTCTTCTCCTCCTTCCTTTCCTTCCTCCTCCTTTCCTTCCTCTTCCTCCTCTTCCTTCTCTCCTCCTCCTTCCTTCCTCTTCCTCCTTCCTTCTCTTCCTCCTCTCTTCCTCTCTTCCTCCCTCTTCCCTCTTTCCTCCTCCTTTCCTCCTCTTCCCTCCTCCTTCCTTCCTCTTCCTCCCTCTTCCTTCCTCTCCTCCTCTTCCTTCCTCTTCCTCCTCCTTCTTCCTCTTCCTCCTCTTCCTTCCTCTTCCTCCCTCCTTCCTTCCTCTTTCCTCCCTCCTTTCTTCCTCTTCCTCCTCCTCCTTCCTCTCTCCTCCCTTCCTTCCTTCCTCTTCTCTCCTCCTTCCTTCCTCCTTCCTCCCTCCTTTCCTTCCTCCTTCTCCTCCTCTTCTCCCTCCCTCTTCCTCCCTCCTCTTCCTCCTCCTCTTCTCTTTCCTTCTTCCCTCCCTCTTCCTTCCTCCTTCCTTCCTCCCTCTTCCTTCCTCCCTCTTCCTTCTTCTCCCTCTCCTTCCTCCCCTTCCTCCTCCCTCCCTCTTCCTTCTCTCTCTTCTCCTCTCTTCCTTCCTTCCCTCTTCCTTCTCCCTCTTCCTTCTCCTCTCCTTCCTCCCTCTCCTTCCTCCCTCTTCCTTCTTCCTTCCTCCCTCTTCCCTTCCTTCCTTCTTCCTCCTCTCCTTCCCCTCCCTCCCTCCTCCCTCTTCCTCCCCCCCCTTCGTGTACAAACTATCCCCATTACCTGAAACCCATAGTTTTCCTCATGAAACCAACCCCACGCCGCCCACGGTGCGCCCGCCCTCATCACACACGCGCCCAAGATGTGTAGATCAAGGCTGAGGAGAAGCCACGCACTAGAGCCGATAGCAAGCACTTGTTGAACCGAAAGAGATTAGAGGTTGGCGAGACTTGTGTTCTTTTTGGGATGATAAGGAAGCTCGCGTTTACTCCGGGCTTTCGTCATTGAACTTGAAGCTAAGCCATGTGTGTTTGTTTGTGATAAGGTGTCTTGGGTATTGTATTGTAGAGGGGGCGGGTTTGTTGATTGTGTGTGTGGTAGGATTATGATAAATTATGTGTAGGAGAAGGTGGATCAGGTCTACTATATGATCAGTCTACTATATGATTAGAAGGTGGATCAGGTCTACTATATGATTAGAAGGTGGATCAGGTCTACTAAATGATCTGAGGGACCTTTAAGATTTAAGCTTTGTGTATCTCATCTCGCCCCACAGATGCCAACAGCGTCCGTTCCCGGATGATGCGCCCCTTCCGGAATGTCGACAGCGCCCCCAACGCCACAACCACGAACGCCACCACTACCACCACCACCAGAGCTACAAGTAGTGTTCAAGTTCCGGTTACCACAGAAGTTCCTTTGACAGATGAATCGACCCCTGCCTGCCAGCCGTAAGCACACAAATCCCTTGCAAGTCTTGTTGGAAATTAGTCCGGGTGTAGGTGGAGATAATTGGCAAGACGGTTGAGTACAATATAAAGTTTCGAAAGCCTGGAATTCATATCGGAGAAACCTTAGTAATTCCATCCTTCAGCGGAATAGTCTTTGGTCGTAGTTAGTTCATAGTTAGTTCATACTCTTAAGGAACGTTTTGTAAAATCTTAAAAAATAATTAAGCTCCTTGATTAAGATATTTTTTCGACACGACTGCCCAGGCCGCAGTTTGCGTGTGGCGGCAGCTCGGGGACCTGCTTGCAGTCCTCGCAGCGCTGTGACGGCTTCTCGGACTGTCCGGATGGGTCAGACGAGCACAACTGCAGTGAGTTTTTTCGTCGGTTATTTACTTTTTGTAATTTTCTTTTCATCTTGTCATGGCTTTTGACATTGCTTTTTTATGTAGCTTCATATTCATTCATTTGCTCTTTCCGGATTGTATCAATTAAACATATGGTACATAAAAAAAATGGGGAAAAAACCCTCTCCAGTATTTCAAGCTTCACTTTGAGATCATGCTTATCCTACGTGATCCCTCAGCATAAAATAGCACCGTTAATTACCCCACAAAACATTTCTAGTCCTTTCGTCCTTTCTCTATCTTTGCCCGCGGATATTACAGACGTGTGCGACGAGAGCCGGATGTTCCGCTGCCTGAACGGCCAATGCATCACCAAGTTCTGGCGATGCGACAACGACGTGGATTGCTTCGACCACAGCGACGAGCAGGGATGCCCGGCCACCGAGGTCAGTCGAACTCGGGCATGGGGTATATTCTCCGTCAGTGCAGTCCATGAACAAAATCGTAATTGTGGCGCTATAGATGATAGCATAATCCTATCGAGGCTATTAGTAAGAGCATAATCATTATCATAATGGCGACTTTATAAGTAAGAGCATAATCATTATCATAATGGCGACTTTATAAGTAAGAGCATAATCATTATCATAATGGCGACTTTATAAGTAAGAGCATAATCATTATCATAATGGCGACTTTATAAGTAAGAGCATAATCATCATTATAATGACCCTATTAACATTTTACCACTAATGAGACGCAGTCTTATCCAAACCTCACAACCCATGAAGAGTATCCTAGTTCTAAACCTCGATTTTCCACGAGGTTCTAAACCTAATAGTAAAAATCCTTTGCAATTTACATCCCTAGTCCTAATAATAGCCAATTTACATCAAATCTCTACGCCTTAATTTCCTTCATAAACCCTCAAATCCCCCCAGGAAAGCGCCTGTCCGACTGGCTTCTTCGAGTGCACTTCAGGCGAGTGTGTGCCGAGGTCGTGGGTCTGCGACGGGGAGAGCGACTGCACCGACCACACGGATGAGACCAAGTGCTCGGTAGGAGAGGGGGGGATGCGGTTCAATCTCTTATTTTTTTTCACTTTTCTGTCTTTATTTTAAGTTTTATTGATTGTAATTTATTTTTCTGTCTTTCTCTTTCCCTCCCCCCCTCTCTCTCTCTCTTTCTCTCTCTCTCTCTTCTCTCTTTCTCTCTCTCTCTCTTTCTCTCTCTCTCTCTCTTCTTCTCTCTCTCTCTTTCTCTCTCTCTCTCGTTTCTCTCTCTCTCTCTCTCTCTCTCTCTCTCTCTCTCTCTCTCTTCTCTCTCTCTCTCTCTCTCTCTCTCTCTCTCTCTCTCTCTCTCTCTGTTTCTCTCTCTTTTTCTCTCTCTCTGTTTCTCTCTTCTGTTTCTCTCTCTGTTTCTCTCTGTTTCTCTCTCTGTTTTCTCTCTCTGTTTCTCTCTCTGTTCTCTCTCTGTTTCTCTCTCTGTTCTCTCTCTGTTTCTCTCTCTGTTTCTCTCTCTCTGTTTCTCTCTCTCGTTTCTCTCTCTCTGTTTCTCTCTCTGTTTCTCTCTCTGTTTCTCTCTGTTTCTCTCTTGTTTCTCTCTCTCTCTCTCTCTCTGTTTCTCTCTCTGTTTCTCTTCTGTTTCTCTCTCTGTTTCTCTCTCTGTTTCTCTCTCTGTTCTCTCTCTCTCTGTTTCTCTGTTTCTCTGTTTCTCTTTTCTCTCTTTTTCTCTGTTTCTGTTTTCCTTTTCTCTTTTCTCTGTTTCTCCTTCTCTGTTTCTCTTTTCTCCTTTTCTCCTTTTCTCTGTCTCTCTCTCTCTCTCTTTCTCTCTCTTTCTCTCTCTCTCTCTCTCTCTGTTTCTCCTTTTCTCTCTCTCTCTCTCTTTTTCTCTCTTTTCTCTCTCTCTCTCTCTTTTCTCTCTTTTCTCTGTCTCTCTCTTCTATCGGTTTCTCCTTTTCTCTGTCTCTCTCTCTTTCTCTCTCTTTCTCTCTCTCTCTCTCTCTCTTTCTCCTTTTTCTCTGTTCTCTCTCTCTCTCTTCTCCTTTTCTCTGCCTCTCTCTCTCTCTCGGTTTCTCCTTTTCTCTGTCTCTCTCTCTCTCGGTTTCTCCTTTTCTCTGTCTCTCTCTCTCTTTTCTCCTTTTCTCTTCTCTCTCTCTCCTCTCTCTCTTCTCTCTCTCTTTCTCCTTTCTCTCTCTCTCTCTCTCTTTCTCTTTTTCTCTTCTTTCTCTATTTCTCTGCCTCTCTCTCTCTCTTTGGTTGTTCCTATCTATTTCATTACCTTTCTCTTGACAGTCTACCCCCGTGACCTGTCAGCCACACCAGTTCAGATGCAGAACCGGTACCTGTATTGCTGCCGCCTTCAGGTGTGATGGGGAACTGGACTGTCCCAGTGGCGAAGACGAGGCCCACTGCAGTAAGGCTCTATTTGTGATGTTTATTTATTAGATAGATAAATAGAGATTCTTTGTCTGGATATTCCCCTCATAGAATTTCAAATAATTCATTGCGTCAGTAGTATTGTGATAAAAATACGCTTGAACTGTTACCCTCCAACGCCACTTATGAGGTCAATGTTCGCAGGTGATATCAAGTGCAGCGAATCCCAAGACCATTACCAGTGCAAGAGCGGCGAATGCATTTCCATTCAAGCGGTTTGCGACCAGCACGAAGACTGCCGGGATGGTAGCGACGAGGAAGGCCTTTGCTGTACGTATTCTTAAAGGTTATTGTATACTTTGAATGAATGCGCTATAAAGAGAGGTACTATTGAGAGCTATTTTGTATGGACTTCGGAGTTGAGGATGTTTGGGTTCAAGTGTTGGGATCTGTGTAGTGTAGGTGTATTATTAAGAATTGTGCATTCCGTTTCGTTGGGTTTTCTGAGGGTGAGTGTATAGGGAGGTATATAACAGTTGGTTGCCAGTCGGACGCGATAGAAACTTGCACACGGACAAGCCCTGTTATTGTGGGCGTATTCTGTTTAATAACAAAATCTAATTTCCTGTAGGTAAATAAAAAAAAAATGTGGACTGCCACGAGTCGCTTGTCATTTTCTGGAATTAGTATTAGACGTTCGTAACTGCATTTTGTGCTTCTACCTGCAATTCATGACCAGTTTGATTTGATTACATATCCATGCGGAAAAAAATCTTGTTCCAGTTGATTACCACGAATAACATGCATGGTTTTATATTTTTTTCAGCGGAGACGTGTAAGGTTACAGACTGCGTCCACCTGTGCAAAATGACCCCACAGGGACCCCACTGTATGTGCAAAGAAGGCTATGCAAGAAATACGTCTAATGGTTGTATAGGTGAGTGTTTCATTTGTGTCAATTGCATGTCACACTGCAAAATTATTGATTTGCATTCATACCCATGTCTGCCTCTGTCACAATATACTGAGAAATTGGATTCAAGGAACATACTGAGTGTTTAGAATTGATGCAGAATATTTGAGCGCACTGTCTAGATATTTTCAGTGAATGATAATCAAAGTATTTTAAAAAGCTGCTGCATCCCTATGGTATTGTACGCTACCGGCAGATGTGAACGAGTGTGCTGCCAACTTCTCAGTCTGTGATCACTTCTGCCAAAACATGGACGGCGGCTTCAATTGCTCCTGTGCTGAGGACTATATGTTGCAGGCTGACGGGAAATCCTGCAAAACGACAGGTAGGTTTCATACGTGGTTTTAATTCATGAAAAAGGAGCATTTGTTCTCTCCATCTGGGAAATTTTCCCGTTGGTTTAAAAAAAAAAAATTGACCATTCCCGATCGTGGCCCTGTTCAGATAGGTACCCAAGATCGTGGTTGTTACCGATAAAAAAAAATCTGGCCATTCAGATACGTACCCAAGATCGTGGCTGTTACCGATACCAGTGTTCCGGTACTTAGACTGATACCGATGATTATATTGTTTCATATTTTATGTATATTTGGAGATAAGTGCTCGTAATCGTGTGAATTCTTAAAAATAAAATACTTGCCGTGATTCATTCTGCTTTGCAAATGATTCAGTTTGTATTAGAAATTGCATCCTGGAAAAGATGGCCAACCGAAATATCTTTTGCTGAATGGTTGCCATGTTTTTTTTTTTTTTTTTTTTTTACTGTATCAAAATGTCCATGATTCGGGAAATGACATTTTTTCCACTTTTTGCCAGATTAATTACAATCACAGTGTAGGTGGTCATACTCGCTGGAAAATGCAGCCTCCTTTTGTATCCCGGGCTTTTTTGCGGTCTTGAATTTATATATAACAAATCACTATCCTGTTGGTTATTATCTTAAGCATGTTTTCCCAACCAATATTACCTGTCCAACTTCCAGACGTTGAACGTAAGAACTGCTTTATGCAATAAATATCCTTATTGTATCTTTTTTCTCCTGCTTCCCTGTTGCTAGTTCATTTCTAAAATGGCGGTAAAAATCTGTCCATAACTCTACAAACCAGATCATTGGAAATCTTTCCTTACCCAACGTATTAAATTCTGCAGTGGACGTGAATTCTGTCAAGTTATAGACATGTTTTTAATCGCACCTTTGCACATGCGGTTACTATGAAGTTCAAAAATATCTACGGAGTTATATTGGCTTTTAAAATATTCAATGACTTTTTTAGATTTTTTTTTCTACCAACGCCAATATTAACTTGGCTTTAAAACTATCTTTAAAATGTACAAGATCATAATTTCAACATTCGATATCCGTGACTGATCATTCTTGTTTACTAGAATAACAAAAATAAACTGAATGGATACAAAAGTCTACAAAAAGAAACTACAGTAATAAGCTGGTAGGTATGTGCGCCGTGAACCACGTCACTTGTGTAGGAGAAATACAGTATCGTCACCTTTTTTCAGTACGAGGCGACGCTCTACTTTTCATGGCACAAGGAAAGGACATAAGGATGTTGGATCTTGGCCTTACGCTCTACTCGCAGATCTACTCAGGCTTCTCTCAGGTATGAACATTTACGACTGTGGGGCAATTACGTAGCATAAGGGATTGGAACACTTTAAAAATAGTGATATCGAACTACCTGGGGTTCGTAATGTTTCTTGGCTCGAGGATTCCCTTAGATCAAAAAGATGTCAGGTGGAAATATATTGACTGAAGTTTTGTCAGGTGAATTGCATTTTTTTCAGAGTATAGCCATTGCGTATGACCCGGTCGATGACATGGTCTACTGGAGCACCGATCAGGGAGTCTTCAGGATATCTCGAAGTGGAGGCACGATGCCGTCTATCGTAGTCAACGAAGGTCAGACTTCCTTTTGGAATAGTAAGATTAATAGTAATAGATTGATTAAAGAGGTGGAAGATCAGTGAGCAGGGGACTGTAAACGATGTCAGAACCCTCATCTCAAAATTAATTTTTTCCCGCACAGCATCGCCACTTTCCAAAACTGCTGTTAAAAGATTTTTCCCCCGCATGAATCCCCCACGTTACCCCACTCTGCTTTCTCCCGCGCAGGCGTGGGCATGGTCGAAGGGCTCGCCGTCGACTGGCTCGGGAGGAATCTGTACATGACGGACTCGATGCTCAAGCAGATAATGGTGTGCTCCCTCAGCGGAACCTCCTGCCACGTGCTGCTGTCGGACCTCACGCACCCGAGAGGCATACAGCTGGACTTGGAGAACAGGTAATCTTTTGGGATCTTCAAGGATGTTTTTTGTGGTAAATTGTCGTGATTGCCTTTTATTAATGGGATTTAAGCATCAAACATTGTTCATTCTCATGGCTAACACCCAGAGGTTTTTCCTGTTATTGTTAAAGGGCTTCTGTATTCTAGGGATAGAAGGTCGGGGGAGTAGGATTTGAATTATGGGGAAAAATGAGTAGAGAGGAAATGTCTTTCATGATTTAGTGAGAGGTTAGGCATGGAGTTTAATTGGTATTGATTTATATCTACATTTGTGAAAGAATGAAAGCGGTTTGAATTGCACAGCGGAAATAAGCTATATAAATACACATGGATCTAGATATATGATAAACCGATAGGAATAAAGTCAGCCATAGGCATGACCTTCAACACTGTAACGAGGACCATGCACTGGACTCGAACACCTCGTATGACCCCAGATACGTGTACTGGACTGACGTAAACCAGTCGACCTTGGAGCGAGCTGGCCTGGATGGGTTACGTCGAACAGTGCTCATTTCGGACGGCGTGAGGTGGCCCAATGGGCTCTGGATAGATGCTCCAGCACGAAGGATATACATAGCGGATGCCCATACCAACGAGGTGTTCCATGTGAACTATAATGGGACCGATCGAAAGGTAGGTACAATCTAGGGGTTGCACGACAGAAACGTTCTATGCATATCTTTTCTCTATTTTTAAAAATACTTTGATAACCTAACTGTTGTGTTTTTATTGCATAGTTTTTTCTTATATATTTGACTTCTACATTTTTTTTTTTTACTCTCTTGGCACTTTGGGTTTTACTGCATATTGATTCATCTTGCATGTTTTTTTTATTGCACATCGCCTCTTGCCTATCATGCAGTACCTAGCGGAGGCGGCGGTGGACCACCCGTTCGCCATCGCCGTGTGGCAGGAGCGCCTGTACTGGAGCGACTGGGAGCACGACCACATCCGGTCTTGTCTGAAGCGCACTGGCAAGCAGACGAAGCTCCTTGTCAAGGGAACCCACAACAACTTCTTTGGACTGGCTCTCTATCACCCTGCAATGATGCCGCTGGTAGGGTCTCTCTTCAGATCATTTTGGTTTATAGACAGCATTGATTGTTGTAATGAATGGATGGGTACAGGGAATGAAAGTAGTATTACTATTTATAACAAATTTGTCAAGAACTTGTGACGTTTCGACGTAGAACAATTAGCTAAGAACAATTAGCTGACACAATTAGCTGACCCTTAAGAACCCTCCTTCCCCAATAAACCACCATCAGCCATAGAAGAATTCTCTCACTAATGCCTGGCTCTTTTTTGCGACAACCCCCTTCGTTCCGCCAGTGTAGCCACCTGTGCTTGCTGTCCCCGGCTAGTAGATACACCTGTGTGTGTCCAGCCGAGATGGAGCTGGCGTCCGATAAGCACACTTGCATCGGTAAGCTAGTAATCCACCCCGAAATAGGTTTGTTTTCTAGTAACGTTGGTTGGAGATATCCTTCTGTGCAAAGATTGTATTTATTTCAAGATTTTATAAGGACGACCTTTATGTAGAATGACCGTTAGTTTTTTTTTTTTTTTTTTTTTTTTTTTTTTTTATATATACATATATATCTGAATTTAATGATAATCACAAATACATGTACCTTAAATTTGAGTAGTGATAAGCCTGTGTCCTCCCGCTTTCAGATCTCCCCAGACGCACATACCCCTTTATCGCCCCTTCCAGCTGTCCCCCCGCCTCCACGGCCACAGCACCTTCGCCGCTTGGACGCCCGGGGTCACCCTCAAGCGCATTGGAGGTTTTGCCTACGACCCCATTCAGGGTGAGTTCGAGGAGGAGTGCTTGCATCGTTTTGATTTCTGAGGGGGAGGAATTGCTTTAGCAGAGTCGTATGAATCCTGATGTCGAATGAGGCTTCGGAACTTTGGGAAAGGAAAGGGAGCGCTTAGATAGATGTTTTTAATTTATTTTCGGTAGCCTTTAAAAAGTTGGATAATTTTTTTTCTTCGCTTATTTTATTTCCCCTTTGACCTTATCTTCTTTTTACGTCGAACTTTCAGACACTGTAATTGTGAGCGACATTTGGGAAGGGAGCATCTACAGTGTCAACAGGGAGACAGGAGTCACGGTGCCCATTGTACCGGGCATATCTCGGGCAGTTAGCGTGGCTGTCGGTAAGTAATAATGGTAACGAGTAATGAGGGTAATGGTAATGATAATTAGTGAAGACCTAATTGATAATTAGAGATAATCGACCAGTTTGTTAAAATTATGCTAGGCCCGACCCAGTAAATATGCACATATACCGACATGCATTTACATAGAAGTAAATGTATATTTTTTTTGTCACATACATCTATCTATCTATCTATCTTTCTAACTGGTAGATATGCATGTTCAAACTGATAGCTATGCACTTGTTTCAGTGTATACGTAGGTCCGTGGACCGTACTCATGTTGACATGTAGAAAGGTATGAATGAGAATTAATATCTTCGCAATACAAGAAATGTATTTGACCGGTTTCGTATACATATATTTCTGACGAAGATGTATTCGAAACAGGTCGGATACATGTCATGTATTGTGAAGATATTAAATCATTCATACCTTTCTACAATATAGGTCCCCATTCAGAATATTTCTTGGGTCGGGCCCTCGCACAATTTCAACACAGGCTGAGCTGGAATGGTCTGGATGGAGGGGGGGGGGGCAAGGGTAATGGTATCTCCAACTACAGAATACGTCACAGTAGGGCCACCAGTGCAACGTGTCAGCATCACCTGCATCAATAAGGGCATCAAGAATAATTAATCTCTTGGATTCTTGCACACGGTTTAATCCTTTCCTGGACACATTCGAGCTTCAAACAAATAAAACATTGGTAACCTTGTACTGAAATAAGCTCATTGAACAAAGTACAAAGCATTTAAAAAATGGCAAACCTAAGTAGCAATTCATCACACATAAAAAGAAAATAATTACATCGTATCTCAAAGCAGGTGTAGCACTGACGCTTCACATCACCACAGGCACGTCACGTCACGACAGGTACACCATCTTATGACAGGTAACCAGCCTGCACCCTTGCAATTTCACTTCTATAAAAGATCATATCAGGTATTAGCACTTGACACATATTAGACCTACATGGATCAAGACCAATGCGAGGACCATGTGAGGGTAGAAATCACTCTGCAAGGTGACAAGCCCAACTCCAGTGCTCTTTCCCAGACTACACCGAAGTCCTTGGGGTTATCACTATGACTTGCAACAGTTCTTTAACACTTTAACTGCCAGCTCTTCCCAGAAATACTGGCGTTAACAAGAATGTCACTGCACAAACGCAATTTCTATGAGCGTCAGTCAACAAAAAACCCTCCTCGAGGTGGTGGTGGCGCCTAACACAGGCTTTCGCAGCCAATCATAGTGCAGAGTACATATGGACCAATCAGAACAAAGCGCTGCTCGTGCGTGAACCAATCAACTACAAGGATGGGAAACACGTGCAAATGAGCTATTATCAAGAATTATTCAATGCATATTTAAATTTCATTCTAAATGTCAATGTATATATTCATATCAGTGATCGTCTCAAACTCAACCTTCTGGTATAACCATGCTCTTTTAGACCATATCACATATTTCAACTTATTTCACTGGATAACCGGGACATCTGACTCATAATGACAATTATCCATTCATTCAGTTGTACATCAGCCTATATACACATATGCTTCACATAACATAGTCTACATACAAAGATATTTCAAATAAAAAATGCCAGCAGCAAAAAATGAAATAAAATTAGCACCGTTTTCTATAAAACTTATTATAATCAAAGAAAACTTTATCACTGGAAGCATATAACAAAACTTAAATTTCCAATATTGTACAGGGGGATGGGCAAGGGTAATGTGGTGGGATTACGGTTACCCTTACTAATAAGGAATAGTGTGGATAATACCGAAGATGATTGGTAAGAATAATGGAAGTATTACGGGTGACATTATTTTTTTAGCTGTCAATCTTCGAGAAGTTACGAAAATGGGCAAAAATATTTGTTGACAAGCGTGATAATCTATTGGGCGTTGATAATTCTTTGCCAGTTATCAGCCAGTAATAATTCAAAAGTACTTAAAGTACTGGATGATGGGGAAATCGCAAACCTATCATAAATTTAAATATAATAGCTGCAATTAGAGAAATTTAAGTCAAAAGGAGAGTATTTTTCAGATGAAAGAAAATGAAAAGCTTTTTAACGTTCCTTCCCATTAACAGACTGGCTACGGAGGAACGTGTACTGGATCGACGGCACGAAGGCGGCCGTGGAGGTGATACGTGAGGACGGCGCCTTCCGCACAGAGCTCCTGAAGGCGATGCCGCATCTGACGAGCATCACCTTAGCCCCCCTCCTCGGGTCAGTGTCTCGCGTGAATGGAGGGTGTAGTTTTTTTTTTTTTTTTTTAACTCTTGAATGTTATACTTTCTTATTGCTTCCATGCTCCTTACCCAGTGTTGCCAGCATGTCAACAGCCCCTCTTGATTCATGGACCCGAAGCTTTCTTGCCAATACGAGAAAGGGGATTGTGTTTCGGTCGAAACTAGTGGTTCACACAGTGACAACTTTTTTTTAATGTAGACATAACTCGTCCATATGCGTGGCTAGGGACTAGGGAAAGAACCGTCTATTTACAATGTAAATGTAATTGATAGTTTTAATTTTTTATGTAAATGTAATCTGTGTTCTGCTCTGTGACAAAATAAATCTGGGTTTGTTGAAAATTATGGAGATCGAATACATTGACAATATGAACAGAATCATTGAATCATCCTCATAACCAGGAACCTCATTTAGAGGCTTTAAATATCGAATGAAAATGTATTATTTTGACCTTTCTAACAACCGTTTTCCTATGACAAGTCGGTTATTTGTTAAGCAAACTATTTCAAATCGGGATGTAGATTACCTCTTACTCTTTTGTAAAAGTGTTTTATACATGCTTTACATTTCAGAGGTCAGTTGCTTGGAAAAACTATCTCAGTTATTACGAACTACAATAATGTTTGAACACTGGAATAAGTGGTGCCCAAACAGCCAAAAATCAATGCATATTTTCAGGTTCATGTACGTGAGCGACGCCAGTATTGAGCCGTTCATCATGCGGTGTGGTTTGGACGCCAAATCCTGCAGCAAGATCGTCACGGTCGACCTCGTCCAGCCCTTGTCGATTACCTTTGAGACGAATCCCGATATCAGTAAGGTTTCTAGACTCTACTGACTATAATGAATATTGTCTAGTAGAGTATTGGAGTATTTCTACATTCTGCAATTTTCACCCCTTTCTCCCCTTCCCACTTTCAATACACACGCGAAAGGTAGTCAGTCCTTCCAGTACAGTTCTCGCTCCTTTTCATAGAACGCCTGTACTGGTGTGACCGCGCCCTGGGTCGTATCGAGAGTGTGGCCGAAGACGGGACCGACCGACGGGTCTTCGTGCAAAACGCGAAGAGCCCCGTTTCGGTCCTGGTGACTCGTTCGCAAATCTTGTGGTCTGAAGAACGGACTTCTCTCATCTACGCCGCTTCCAAATTGGATAATAGTTCTGTGCGGGCAATGGCTCTTGGTGCGTGGGTAGATTTATATTATTTAGGTCTGCATAATTTCTAAGAGCTGGATTTTTTTTGTTTCTTGTCTTAGGGGATGTAAATTCTTGCCCTTCCTCTCCTGCACCTCCTCTTGGCACTGAACCCCTTCCTTCACTTACAGAAATGGGCATTCCGGAAAACGGAGAACGTTCCCTGAAGCTCATGGAAGTTGGATGGAAAGTTCCCGAGCAACTAGCAGCGACAAACCACCCTTGCCTGCAGAGTAATGAGAGCTGTAGTCAGTTGTGCCTTGGAGACAACTTTAGCGAAAAGGTGAGTGGATTTTTTTGTATTTTTCTATTGGTTTAAATGTTCTATGATTGATGTTCACAAATCCATTTCATTGAACAATATATCTGCAGAATAGAAATTAGCAGTTTACCTTAGCAAGCAAAGTTGATTTGGAAGAGCTGTTGAAGCAGACACGCAAATCATTTCAGGAAAAGTAATCACTTTTATTGAACTAATTAGCACGGGCAGATAGAGAAAATGGATGCATATACTTATATGATCTGATTCCACTTGGTAGGTGTGCGCTTGCAGTTTCGGCTACAAACTCCAGGTGGACTTGAGAACGTGTGAATCCGTCAAGTGTAACGACATCCAGTTTCATTGTTTCCGATCGCACACTTGTATTCCTAGTTCCTGGAAGTACGTCTGGTGCCACGTGACGCGTTTTATCGTTAATCTGAAAATTTGTTAGGCAATTATGGTTCATAAATATGATTTAAGCGTCTATATATTTACCACTCGGGTAAGCCATACAAGAAACGCCTTGTTTCAGATGTGACTTGACCCCCGACTGCCAAGACGGCGAAGATGAGGAGGATTGTAATCAGCCACAAGCGTGTAAGGAGAAAGAGTTCCAGTGTTCTACAGGCTCGTGCATTAACAAGCTGTGGACATGTGACGGAGTGCACGACTGCGAGGATGGCTCTGACGAGAAACTCGATGAATGCTCGAACGTAACATGTAGCAGCGGTGAGTTCATGCCTCTAAGAAAAATTTGTTTATCGATCGTTAAAATATCTTGTACGCTTAATTAAGAAAATCAATGCCCTCTGTGGTCTAATCAACCTTAACACCTGATTTAGAATCTAAGATAAAAAAACACTTACTGAATACACTCTCGGCCAGCAATCCTAAAAAGTCGCTCATTGTTTCCTCCACCTCAGTGCACTGGAGATGCAAGTCGGGCATGTGCATTCCGAAGATGTGGGTTTGTGATCAAGAGAAGGAATGTGACGACGGCTCAGACGAGACGGAGTGTGATACTTCTTGCCCGGAACACAAAGTCGCTTGTAGAGATGGTTAGTAGTTCTTTGTTGCGAGGAATTTTTGGTTCAGATAGAATTACTAAGGAAAAGCTTAGAATAGAGGGGTTGATCTTGCTTGGATTCTCTACGAAGATTTTTTCCTTGTTAATCTGACGAATTTTGCCTTTATTAAAAGATGTTTGTTTTATTGAGTATTTTGCTTACAGAATATGCTGGGTAAATTATGCAGTACTTTATTTAATAATGTAATTCTGTAAAGTTTAACACAAATGCATAAATGCATGCAGTATTTTGCTTACAGAATATGCTGGGTAAATTATGCAGTACTTTATTTAATAATGTAATTCTGGTAGAACAAAATAGATATATGAACAATTGAGACGACTAGTTTTGCAGCGACACGAATCTCTAGCTAAAGATTGTCGATATTTTTTTTTTCACGCATTTAAACCCCAATTTCAGGAAAATGTGTACCAAAGGTGTGGAAATGTGACGGCGACAAAGACTGCCTGGACGGAAGTGATGAGGAAAATTGTCCAAGTAAGAGTTTTAGCATATTTAGATTTATCATGGGCAACTAAAGGCTTAGTCATCTCCGAGCGAACAACACGACGAGACGCCAAAAGGTGCAGATGCAAAATAAACAGGCGCCCAATGACCAGGTGGCGAAAGCATCACGTGACAAAGGGTGACACCGCGTGATTGGACCAAGAGAAAAGAAAGAAATCACGAATGCGAGACGAGCAGTTCCAATGGATCGGAATATAGATCATAGTGTACCAGTGTGGGAACAAGAAATTAGGGTAGAAAAAGTTACTGAGAAATATGCTTTAAGATTTGCCGAGACGAAAATTTTGATGTGGGTTCTTTCCAACTATAGGAAATTGTGATAACAGCAAGGGCGTGACCGGGTAACTGGAACTAGAAATGGAAGACAGTAACAAAGAGCTATTCTGGAATATAATTAAGATTAGGAAGAAAATTAAAGACATTTATGAACGTGAAATGGAATTGCTAAATCATCAAATACATGTCAATATTGTGTTAGATGTAGCTTTATCAACATTTAATGGAAACATAAGCTTCAGTGTAATTTTAAGTGCTTTCTAAGATTGATAGCTCGGCGGAAGTGTTGGCAGTGATAAGTCCTGTTTTTCGACAGTGAGATTGATTTTTTGTCTATCAAGTATTAGAATCTGTTATTACTTTTACTTGTGGGTTGATTAATGTAAAAGCGTAGAAAAGGAACTTGGTTTGTGCTTATTATAATTATTTGTTTATTTTAGAGTATTTAGTTTAAGCATTATTGTTTTAACTACTTGCTTCTCTTTGTGATCGGTATTTTACCTAATTCATATATTAACTTCAGATATTAGATAATTGCTCTTATAATGGTTGCTATTGTTTTGTAATAGCTAATTCATAAAGATAAAACATAGTTTTGAATGTTGTTTTTGTTTAATCAAGTTTCATGACTGATTATTATATAAGAGTTTCCCAATTTTTTTTCGGGTGCGACCCTAAAGACAGCCTTAGCTTGGGCTAGCGACCCTAAATGTGGAAACGTAGTAGTATGTCCAACCATTTTCATGGTAGTTATACTTGTAGATGTAGATTTATATTAGCATACGTTATTCTATACTTATATAGGTTTATATTACCAACACATTGAATTTCGGTAAACGTGTTAATAAAAAAAAATATTGATATATCTAGCTATGGATTCTTTTATTCTTCTTTTAAGACCCTCTGGCGACCCTCAGAAAAACTGTTTTGTTAGTAAAAAATCCTGAACCCAAATAATGTCATCTGAATTTTGTTTCATGTAATCTTTGATATTGTGATTTTATTACATTGCATGGGTAATTAAATATTAATATTTTTTTTTAAGATTGAACTTAATCCTTGAATTGCACTAATTGATAGTATAAATATTGTCACATTATAATCCACTGATTAGTTATTTAAAGTTACGTTACAATGAAAGAGAACCATGAAACATTTATTAATCTTGCATATAAGCCACTAATACTAAGGAGCCTTTAATGGAAATGTGGAATTAGTGCTCTTATTATATATAGTAGATCCTAATAGAAATATGAACCATTAATATAAATGTATAACATGTTTTAGTGTTTGGTTGGTAATTCGTCAAGCTTTTTTCCTTGGTCAGCTGAGTGTAAGAGCAACGAGTTCACCTGCGGCAACAAGAACTGTGTGCCCCTCCGAGCCACCTGTGACGGCGAGGACGACTGTGGCGACGGCTCCGATGAGGGCCTGCCTTCGTGCCAGCCCCCAGCCCCCCCTCCGACGTGCCACAAAGGCCAGATCATGTGCGAGCGCCACGACCTGTCATCCCCGCCCATCTGCATACCACTTGTTAGCGTGTGAGTTGGTGGTACTATTCTCTCTCTCTCTCTCTCTCTCTCTCTCTCTCTCTCTCTCTCTCTCTCTCTCTCTCTCTCTCTCTCTCTCTCTCTCTCTCTGGTCCATTTACATCTCGGTGCTATTGTGTATATTTGTGAAAGTTAATTTTAATGTTGTGCGTTATTTGTATTGTAAGTTTGTTGATCTTGGTTTACTTTTTTTTGTGTGCAAATTAACCAAGTTGAGTGACTTGGTGAGGTGAATCAAATTTCTTACAGCTTCCGTCATGTCTGTTGAATAACCTGCCGATGCTTGATTTCTGATCCGTAGATGCAACGGCGTTCGGGACTGCCCCCTTGGCGAAGACGAGGACTGTGATTACTGCGCCCGCCACGAGTTCAGCTGCTCCTCGCACGGCTGCATTCCGAGAGGGTATTGTTCAGTTGCAGAAACTTAGATGCCGCGACGGGAAAAAAATAAACGATAATTGGATGCCGTGACGGATAAAAAAAACATTAACTGTCTTAAACGATAAGATAAATACTTACTAGGTGATGCAACATTTTGTTCTCATTCGTAAATTTTGACAGGTGGATGTGTGACGGGGAAAAGGACTGCACTGACGGCTCTGACGAAAGCCCTTATGCCGGTTGTCCGCCTGGCAATGACACCGTTAGTGATGGTAAGCTGCTTGATCCCCCCCCCCCCCCTCTCCCACACATACACACACACAAAAGTTTGAGGTTGCTGCCTAGTTTTCTTTTGTCTTGTATATGTATGTGTATATGCAATGCCGTAAACGTCAATGAGTGTATAAAGTAGGAAAAAGAAGGGAGGAAGAGGGAAAGGAGAGAGAAAGGGGAATGAAGGGAGCTGGTAGGAGGGAAGGGGGGAAGGGGATATCTCTCCCTCTCCCTCTCCCTCTCCATTATTCTTATTCGCATGTTTTTTTGTTTTAGGATTATTTTTCAACATTGTCAGATATAAGTAATTTTAAATGCAGTTGGTATTACTGTACCAATTTTGCGCTATTAATCAATTTTCAGGATCTACACAAGAGTATAAAATTAAGTCCAACAATAATTGAGATTCTCCAAAAAAGCTTTTTTTCGAAACATTGTGGCCTTTGCAATTTCAGAGTTTGAAGTTCAGACCCATCGGTTATAGATATCCTCCTTGTAATCATTTTGTGAAAGCCGTAGGCATGTCACGAAACTAAATCATTTATTCCCCGGTATGGTAACGCAGCCCCGCCGCCGCCGCCGCCAGTCTGTGGAACGCACGAGTTCGAGTGCGGGAGCGGCGGCTGCATAGCGTCGCGTCTCGTGTGCGATGGCTTGGTGGACTGTCTCGATGGCTCCGATGAGGGCAGCTTGTGCGGTAGGTTCTAGGCCGTGTCATTCCAGCAGGTTCAAAACAGTTGTGCACCAGATTATTTTCGTAGACTGATCTGTATGTAATGTTATATATATATTTTTTATTTCTTTTTTGCGAGAACTAAGTACTCTGAGATTTTTAAAAATCTATTTTATGCGTAGCTTGATAAAAAGAAATGTAATTGTTCTCAATTATCCCTCAGCAAAAACCTGCTTGGGAAACGGTGGGTGCCAACACGTGTGTAAGGAAGGTCCAAAAAATCGCATTTGCTCTTGTTGGAAGGGATTCAAACTCGCCGAGGATCAGACTAGCTGCGTAGTATGTAAACTTTGTAAATGTATTACAAAACAAATCATTACTGTACTTGCAGACATGCACAAGTAATTTCCTGGGACACAAAATATCATCAGAAAGCATGACTGACGTGTAAAATACTTATGGTCACTTGTAACTACTTTGAACAGGATGTGAAGGAATGCGACGACGAGGCCACCTGCAGCCAGAAGTGTGAGGAAAGACATGGCTACCACTTGTGCTCCTGCCTACCCGGCTATACTCTTAGACAGGATCAACGTTCTTGCAAACCAATAGGTAAATTGAACGAGATGTTAGCAATATTATTCCAGTCCTAAAATGCGACTTAAAAAGTGAAAAGACAGGCAAACAATTGACACTGTGGTTAGAGGATAGTCATGTCATTCAATTGTGCAAACATGTCTAATAATTTGCTAGTTCGTATAGACGAAAAAAAAATTGAACATATTATGGTATTGGTTTTCTCCCTTCTAGGCGGCGACGAATATGTGGTGGCGGTGCATCCTGGGTCCATCCTGAACATGTCCCACTCCTTCCATCTCGTTGAGAAAGTGACGATGCCGTCTCATGTTCAGTTTTCGTCTCTCGAGTTTGCACCAGAGTCCCATCATTTTGTTTATGCTGACAGTAAGAACCTGCTTCTGTGCGAGATCCATATATACCAAAACTATGCTGCTTGGGCATTTAGTTATGAGTATTGAAATGCTCATATTAGTAGTGTTCAATGGGTAAAATTGCATTTATCACTAATCTGGGTTTCCAATTTCTAGAAGCTCATGGAACTATTGGGAAGATGAGCATGGATGGCAAGCTGACCACACTCCTTAAGCACAGAAAGCGTCCCCAGGGTCTTTCCTTGGACCCCATTAGCAACAGCGTCTATTTCTCTGAAGAATTCGGTAAAGCTGAAGTTGTGGACAACGGTTTGCCAAGAGCGCGCAGGGAGACGAGTGCTGACGGGGCTTATTCTGTGATAATGGTAAGTCTCGTTGGTGGTTTGGCTTTCATTTGGGGCTTGTTATATGAAAGTAAATGGATTTCCTTTTAGAAAACATATTAACAGAGCATTTTGCAGGTTCAGTACTTTTACTGCTAGTGGATAAGCTCATCATAGCACATATAAGAAAGCCAATGCACAAAAACATAATTACTTTGTGGAATACCTTTACTTCTGTTTTAGTGGTGCCATACCTTTTTTACACCAGAAAACTCTTTTCATGCTAAAGGAAAGTAGTGCAGGAAAAAGTATCCTAAGGTCCAGTTTCAGTGTTGACAGCTTTATTTATATAATTATATTTAACACAATAGGTCTGCGGGATGGAGGGCGACAGAGAATGCAGCATGGTGTACCAAGGACACGGTGAAGAGATCCCTGCAATCCGCGTGGCCCCAATATCAAGACGACTCTTCTTCTGCACAAACAATATGGCGCAGGAAGAGGCAAAAATTTTCACCTCTGATATGGATGGCAGATCGGCTAGAATTATCAGTCATAAGGTATCAGTTCATGCAGGATTGGGTAGGTTGTTAGACTGAGTTGGGTTGCTTATGATAGATTAACGAAGTCCAGTAATGTCATTGAATATCAACTGAAATAGCCAAAGCTTCAGGACAAGTATTCAGGTTTCCGTGCCTTAATTACAGGTTGTGAAGTGCGGGGACCTGGCAGTGGATGAGGCCAAGGAGCGAGTGTACTGGACCGATCTTTCCCGTAATGTTGTCGAGTCTGTCAAATGGTCGGGCGATGGCCACCGGATTATAAAAGAAAATGTGTGTAAATTCTTCAAGTATAGCATTGCAGCATTGATAATTGATATGAATTCTGACAACTTAATTACAGTACAAATCAACACCCCATTTTTTTTTTTACAAATCCATTCTGACACAGGTACACACGCCAATTGGACTAGCCCTGAGTGGAGACTGGGTGCTGTGGTTGGACACGCACAAGCATCAGGTAATAAAGTGCAACAAATTCGATGTAGGCGTCTGCGAGCAGCACACCATGGGCTCTGCTGGCATAGCTTTGATTGTTCAGCATCGTTTAAGAATGGAGAGTTCAATGATTGGAGGTAAGGGTGAAATTCCTTTGTAAAATGAGAGAGCTTCGATCAATGAATTATCAAAGTGACTCTTCATGCAAGTGTTGCATCCGTGTTGAAACCTGATAAATATTTGTTGAATATATTTGATAGTTTTCTTGTTTATCCAAGGTGGATATACACAAGGTAGAAAAATAGATACTTTGAGAATGTGGAAACTTGTAATGGAAAATAAATTCTTAGCAACATCATTGTTTTGCTTTGTTCTGTTGATTTATTGCTTTGTTCTAATTATTGCATATGTTGAAGCCTGCACAGCAAAGAACTGCAGTCACCACTGCACGATCCAAATGGACAAAAAGGCCAATTGTATGTGCAAAGTCGGCTACACCACAGCACCCAACCGTCCTAACGAGTGTGTCAGGGTACGTTCATCAAATAATTATATTGAGCTTAATTATAGACACCCTGTCATCTAAACTTGAAAAAAAATATCTTAATCTTATTTTCCACAGTTGAAATCGTGTGACCACAGCCCTTGTCGAGGCGAAGGTATATGCGAATCCCACTCCGACACAGAGTTTATTTGCAGGTAGGTTGGAAGAGTTACAGTAATAAGAACAGAATGTACAATTTTGAAACCTTTTACTGTATACTCACCTGTAAGCATATTACACGTGCAATGTGTTATGCTGTAGAGATTATAGTTTCATTCAATAATTGTTGGTTGACAGCAAATTTAGTGTTATTCTAACATGTTTCACTCATCCAAAATCTTGGGAGCTAGAATTTGCAATTATAAATTTCTGGTGTTTGTGTTGAAATGTATGAGCGTTGGCTGGATACATCACTAGTCTACCATCAGAAGAGTAGGGTGGGGGTGGGGGGGGGGGTGCTTCAGGTCCCATTGATCTGGTGAGTCGGACCAGAGACCTCCCTATATTAGACAAAATACTGCCAAGGTGCACCGCGGCCTGTGTAAGGGGATGGTGCGCCCAACCCTTGTTCATTCCATCTTGGACCAGGGAGCTATCTCTCCCGTGTGTATTTACCCTGCATGCCATTTCTGCCTTTGATTTCAGATGAAGTTGGGTGTGAGCAGTTAGTCCGTGGTGCAACTCATAGGAATGGTAATCTTCTAGATCTTTTACTAACTGATGTGAGAAGGGTTGTTGATGTAGACTCCATCGCGCTAATAGGACCTTCCGACCACTGTAGTCTAGTATGCAGAATCCAGCTGGACTTTCCTATACCTGGCTTTACTCTTACTAGATGTCTTCTTAAAGTCTAGAATTAACTGGAATGGTGTCTACCATGCTTTTGATAGCATTGTTTAGCGAAATGTTTATGATGCTCCTTGTCCTGTTAAAGCTTTGGATTTGTTATTGTTGGACATCATAACGAGGTTTGTACTTAGCAAAACTCTAAAATCTCGTTCACATGATAAAGCATGGTTTAATTGAACGGTGTCACCAGGCTTGTAGAAACAAACATGCTGCCTACAATCCTGCCTACATGGGTTTAATTTTTAAGTTAGTCTTTTGGTGTTGGTAAAGTTTTAAGCATTTTAACTGAATTTTTAAATGGTAGGCAGCATCATGTTCATGTTGGTGGTAGTTTTACTTGTATTCCCATGTATCTTCTGGGGTTCCTCAGGGTAGTGCTCTTTATCTTGTATACAAGCGATATGTGGTCTGGCATATGCTGATGATACTTTTCTATGCCGATATTCCTTTTCCGGCAACGAGTAGTAGCTGACAGTCTATCTGTAGACCTGATGAATCAATCGTTGAGCTCTCGATGGGGCATGATTGTGACACCCCATCTGCTGTTAACTTGTTCACATTCTTGAAACACTTGTAGTCAATAAACGTTCCAAAGTTGCTAGCTAAGACAAATGCAGTGAAATGCTGAAAGCGAAAGAGTTGCTACAAATTCAGGAATAATTATGATTTTGCACACACGTTTGAATACTAAATAGGAAAATGTACAATGAGATAAAATAGTTAAACAATATTGGATAAATATTAAGAATAAATGGGGGAAAATGAGGAAAATCCATCCACAATATCATCCTTTCAACATAACATTTTTCATAAACTACTTTTGAGGTATTTATGCAGACAGTTAAAGCGCCTTAAAAGTGTAACTAAAGGCTATATATTGCCATTAAGGGATGGGAAACAATCCGTTCTTTAGTTCGTAAATGAAAATGTTTCATATGAATATTAGAATACTTTTGGAATGGCTTACATCACATTATTTTAGGCAAGCTTAATAACAAAAATGGCAAAACTTTCTTGCAGACTAGTGGTTAAAATATCAGATTAATACTTTATTACGAACATCTGAGGAAAGGTAACATCGAATGCGTATTGTCTAGGAATATGCATTTTTCTCCAAGTGCATATTATTTAAATGTGTAGTAGAGTATCTCGCACTAATCACTGGAGAAAAAGGTAGAACCTTAGTTTAAGGAAGCAGGCAATGCACATACCGCAAATTTCATTCGAGCGAATTCTCATTATTTCCGTGTTCGTGACAGGTGTCCTGTAGACCATGAAGGGGCCTTGTGCGAGGTGGCTAAGACGCCCACAGCAGACAACAGTGACAGTAGCAGCGCAACCTTAGGCGTGTGCCTCTTCTTGATAATCTTCGGTGCCCTCATTTTTGGGCTTTATTGGTATCGCAAGCGACCGTTCCCCTTTTGGAAGGGAAAAGGAGGGTATGTATGAGGTGCCCTTTGTATGTTTCCTTTTTCTCTCAACTGGCAATCATTTGATTTACAATGCTCAATTAGTACAAAGATTTTCATTAAGATACATATTAGAATCCAAAAAGTAAAATCAAATTCCCTAAATTACAGGCAACTTCGCAAGAGATGCTTTAAAGCGAATCAGACGCTACGCTTCGCCAACCCAGGCTTCGGTATTATTTCCCCCACCACTGTGCCCAACGGAAACACAGCGTCCGGTATTAATACCATCCCCTCAACTCCGCCTGTCTTGCGAGGCTCTCACAACTTCGAAAACCCTTTCTTTAAAACTGATGAGCACGTGGTAAGCCTCCCACAGTAGAATATATTCTGTTGAAGTTGTATCTAGCATTTCACTGAAATTTCCGATATCATACGTGATATTTCAGAATCTTATAACATGCTAAATGTTCACCAATGAGATTAAAACTAAGAAAAATATACACAATTCTGCTTCCTTGCCCAGCCGGACACGAGTGCAGACTCAGCCATAGTGAGCACAGCCGACTCGACCTCCATCAACATCGCTCCTCATCAGGTGGATCTGACGACACCACAGCACGTATTGTAAGTCACTCCCGATGTGTTCAATTATATCACCATGTTTTCCTATGCTGTGCAATATTTTTAATTAGGTCTGGAGACTAATTCATTGAAAAGAACTGCTAGGGATCGTGTCTAAAGTTCACTGATTTGCTCATGTCTTATTTGTTTTGCTTTCTATATGCAGACTCTCAATCCATACTATTTTTCTCTTTAGGAAGCCACCGGTAGAGAAGAAGGTCGAGTGGGACCTCTCTCCTTTCCAACCCTTGCAGCCTCCGGTGTGAAACAATGAATTAGAATACATATACTGATATAGATAAACTTGTTGTAATTGTTAAATGTTTAATATTATAGGATAATATATATTTCTAAACTAATCTTTAGTTTCTTTTAGACCATTAGCCATGACAGCTGGTGGGAAAGTATGTAATTGTGAAGGGTCTATAATTTTAAGTGATGCCTAGCTGGATCATGAAAAGGACCATGAACTGTTTTGTGAAGCACGCACTTAAGTATATAGAAAGCAAGTTTTACCTAAACAATTTACAAGAATTACACACCTGGTAAAATCCAGGTATCAATGTGGAAGATGTCTAGTTTTGAAAAGACAAGAGCAGTGAAATAAAACAAAATTGAATTTGGAATTTTTAGTTCCAATTTCAAAGATAGGTTTAACATTTGTCATGATTTCAAGCATGTCAATCTTTTGAAATAAACTTCATAATCCATTTAGATTTTGCTGTTCAAAAATCACATTCTAGCACTCAAGGATACATGTATATACTGCTGTGTACACTGCCGGGGATGACATCTTCAGCCTCAGTCCTCGACTCAACCAATTTTGCAATCTGATCTTCTTTTCCTCCGACATACCCTAGGCTAACCATGTCCAGTAATGAAGATTTTGTAACTTTATTAGGGGCGATGAGGCTTGCCCCACTGATTTCAACTCCCCCCTTTCCTGAACCCAGGCTTTCCTGACCATGACTCGGAATACTACAACTACCCCTTCCTCAAAGCCTCCTCCTTCACTCGACACCAGTCCCTCCTCCACAAGGCCCTGTCCTTCTGCTACTTCCATTTCTACAAATCTTTTGAGCACTGTTGATCCCAGCCAAATGGGATCGTTTTTTGTGATCCCCTCTAAAGCCACTTACTCTGACTGCGCATCTTAGTGCTTAAAAAATCAAGTTGGCTAAAATTTCTTTCTGCCGATCTCTCCTGCCTTTGTCAGTTACATGCGAATCCCAAGTTAATGCTAAATTATCTGTTGACGTCACTGGCAAACCCATTCCTGCCCTGCCTCATCCCTCCTTCAATATTTGTACAGGAACGGTCTCCATTTTCTCGGCAGTCCTTTCGACAAGGATTGGTCATTGTGGAGAAGACTTACTCGCCTGCCTTGGTGACTATGATGCTACACTATTCCCATAGAGGCTGTCATATGTCCTCCCCCATTATTGCAATCTTTACTTTCAATAGACATGACCACTATATACTGGTCGAGCCTCTTGCTGTCCAACCCTGTCAATGTCAGAATTGTTGGCGGGTAAGCCACTCTGCCAAATACTGCCGATCCACAGCTCGATGCCCTGTTTATGCAGGAGTAGCATTACCTTCAAGTGCAAGTCTGAGCTGGAAATTCTCAAATTAAAACTTTGCATACTTTCAGGCCAAATTTGAAGGCCAAATTTGAATGTCCTTTTGCTGATCCCTACATTACCCTATGGATGTCTGCAGAATCCCATTTTCTTTTATAACTTTCAAATTCCCCTTGAACTATGCTTTTCACTGCTACTTTTCTCTAATGCTATATTACCTTTGAAGTCTGGCACGTTTATTTTCAAAAATACTAACCATTTACTCCTTTCTACTCTTTGCTCCTTTCAGTGCCATACTCTCTTGGAACTGCACATTTTATTTATTGACTGACTCTACCTTTTTCAAATTCCCCTTGAACTATGCTTTTCACTGCTACTTTTCTCTAATGCTATATTACCTTTGAAGTCTGGCACGTTTATTTTGCTTTGAAACCATTAACCATTCTGAGAACGTTAATCATGTATTTTCGCTGTTCAACTGCCGTGTTATAAAGGAAGAAATACTTAACCATGCATAATGGGAAAAATAGTTTCACAATATTTTTGCCTTACACCACACCCAAGTCATAGAAAAGGGAACGGGAAAAAGATACTATAATAACAATTTTATTAGTTTTAATAATAAAATGTAACAAATAACAATAATAATGTCCCATGTCTGATGCTGAGACAAAAACATCAGCCAAACATAAACCAATGCCACTTTGAACAAGGCGAGCTCTGGCAGTCATTTGCCTCACTACATACACTGATAACCAAAGAAATTTAATTCTGTGGCCAAGAGTCCAATTCTTAATAAATATTCCCTTACAGCGGTGGTTCTGAACCTGTGTAGAACTCCAAAAATAATTTCTAGACATCCACAACTCGTCAAACAGTAACTCCGTTCTTTTAATAATACTAATTCATTATATGTTATCATATACCCGAGACTTTACAGTACAACTTACTGCATAAAATTACTTGAAGCTGTGCCTCCCTGGAATGACAAATCCCCTGAACACAGATGTATTTTCTAATGAAAATTTGGGATGTACATTTTGTAAAAATTCCGCTGTAAATGGGTTGAGAACCACCGCCTACAATTTCCGATTGAAGTTTGCATCAAACAGGGTTAACTGACCATTTGCATTAAATAATAGCTAATTTTGGAGGATACAAGTACCAGCGTATGTCTTTTAATATCGGTTTTCCTTTAGTGATTTTAAAGATTGTGTGGCAAAAAGACTACCAAGGTGACTACAGCAGATTATCATGAAATGTGTGAATAGCAGTTTAGTAATTCAATTTAGAACTAACATTTCTCGCCTTTTCTGAAGACGCATGCACATTATCATGTGTGGGTTTGGAACTGGGATGCAGAACGGTAATAAAAAAAAAAATGTAATAAATTAAATGAAAAGATGCTTTGATCTGCATATCCATGAGATGATGATTACCCAGAGGCTGTGTGCTGCAAGCGATTCTCAAAATTAGTGTGAAGGGAAAAACACTATATATATTAAGCTGCGAAAGTTAAAGAAAAATGAGGAAATACCGATGAAAATATTGTGGAAGTGTGCATGCGTCTCTACCTTTCATAAAGTATCTGATGATTATCTTATGAAATATAAACTTAAAACTAAACACACTGACCATCCCACACAGAACCACCACGATTCAGTCATACACGGCTTACAACAGAAAACAAGAGCGGGTATCTTTGTCTACAAAGAAAAGGGCTGCGGGGAAGTTTACTAAGTGCTTTACATCTGTACATCTGAATGATTCATAATTAAGGATGAAGAGCGAGTTAGTTTTACTTGCAGTTTTGCCTGTTTTAATATGTACTGCCTAATCTATGCCTGAAAGATTAAACGTAACAATCGGCCTGTAATGACAACCAAATGTACTCATTTACACTAACTGATAAATATTTACGACTTAATTTATCGGTATTAATTTACCATGAAATGTTTTAAGTAAACAAATTCATGTGTATAAATAAATAAATAAAATAAATAAGTTAAAACCATCTTGCATATTAAATACGCAACAGGTTGTATCTACACGTTCCACCAGATATATCAACTTAGCATAAATTCAACACCTTCAAAATTAGCCTCGTTCAGAATACAAGCGAAGGTGGACACAGACAGAGGAAGGTGGGTGTTCACAGGATGACCCACGCGGGGAAGGCCGTGCGAACAGCTGTAGATATCTACAAGGAAAACCACGTGAGCAAGTTCCCGAAGAACCTTTCCTGAACCCTCGCCCGCAATGGCGGGACCTCAATGGTAAGGCCTGTCAGCAGGGCCACGCCAGCAGGGCCATGCCAGTAGGGCCAGCAGGGCCAGCGCCAGCAGGGCAATGCACCTGCAGGACCCCCATCACCAAGCAGGGTCACGCCAGAAGGGCCACACCAGCAGGGTCACGTCAGCAGGGCCATACCAAGACGGGGGGGCAAAGGAAAGCCCTGCCACCTCATCCAAACTGGACCAAAGTGCAACAACAGTGCGCGCGGCTTTTCTGTCCAGAAATTAACGGAACTGGATGGGACCTCCATTTTGGAAAACAATTTGGCAAGTAACTGAACTTACGAATTGAAGATCGTACCAGTTTTCCTCAAGGAAGCCCCATCCAGTTCAGATAACTTGTAATGTTAAATAGAAGCTATTTACAGAATCTTGACAATCACAAAGCAATAAGGTGCGTGTATGCGTCATCCAGTATATTTAACTTTTGTTTTTTGTGATAGATAATGCACTATCAGGATATCTTGTCTAATGTTTCCAATATGGAGGAAAGCATATTGCAGTGCCAGAACCAATAGGTACACTAAATTTAGCTTTACATATTAATATAAAGATCAATTCAATGATAATTATTTCAAATAATTCCATACACTTCCCTTATGCTGTCAGAGGTGTCGCAAAGTTTACTGTCTCTCTGCGAGGCACTGCTCTAAAGTGATAGGTCTGTGGCACCATAATGTGTCTGCACTTTAACGGAATTTCATGAAGATCCTATCTTCACACATGTGTTCTTGATCATTGTGCATAACCAGGTAAGTGACCTCGTAGGAACTGCGCCATGCTGAAGACAGCAGCAGCCTGCTGGTGGGTGTGAGGAGCAGCAGGAGACTCACTGGTGTCCTTTTGCATCTGCCTGTGGTGGCACATGAAGCCGGCCACCAGCACTGAAATCACGGTGCACATTGCCAGCAGCACAAACAGGGCGGAGAAGCCGGGCGCCGGCAAGCACACGCCATACACCACATCTTCGCGGTGCCCCTTGAAGACGGTGACGCCGTCTTCCCTGGCGGGCGTGAACTCCAGGTCGGCCTCGGAGATCACCTGGTAGTCGGTAGTGACGCCGATGTCGGGGGAGCGTTGGTGGCGATCGAGAACGAGGTCACGGCCGGCCTCGGGCCCAGGGGAAGTCCTCGGCGTTCGGCAGTTCGATGGTTTCGCTGCCTTTGAGGGGCGAGCCGTTCAGGTACGCCTGCGCCGACTCCTCGTCCGGGATGATCAGGGGGCCCTTGGAGTACAGGCTGCTCTTGTTGATCATGGGGTTGTTCTGGCTGCTGGGCCGAGCCTTACCCGGGTTGGCCGCCGATCGCTGGTTCGCACTGTAGAACGGTGGCCTCTCGCTCTTCTCGCCAAAGCTCGAGGGCCCAACATTATTCGGCGGAGCCTCGTACTGTGGCGCTGTCTCGGCAGGAGCTGCGTAGGCGTCGAGGGGCGGCTGCTGAACTAGAGGCTGCTGGAACTGAGGTTGAACTGAGGTTGCTGCTGGAACTGAGGTTGCTGCTGGCTGTAGTCGCCGATGGGATTGCCTGCAGTTGGCTTCTGGCAGTGGTCGGGGCAGCCGAAGCGACAGATCTCCACTTTGCAGCGAATGTGGACGGCCATCGAGTCCGGGAACTTGAAGGCGTGGAAGTGGGCGTAGGTGAGTACGGTGGCGCGGCCGTCGTTGTTCCGAAGCTTCATGAACTTGGAGATCATCTTGGGGCGGAGGACGCAGCCGTGCTCGTCGCTGAGGTAGATGGGCGAGTTGGAGCCGTCGGAGGCCTCGCACGACTTCACGCGCATGTCGAACTCCCCTGAAACGAAACGATTAGATATTTGCGTCAACGCCTGTGAGCGAAGCAACTAAATGAAGCCTAAAACGTACTGACTTTAACTTTTATTTGAGTGCAAAAAGTTAAAAAAGTTGTCGGTTTATGAACATGAATTCTCTGAAAAACGTACTGACTTTAACTTTTATTTGAGTGCAAAAAGTTTAATAATGAAATCAAATAGCGATGAAAACAGAACCTACTACAATAATATACGATACACGCACAAAAAACGCACTCGCCCGCACTCAAAACCCATTCTCATAGCCCCTCCTCCGTCCACTTACCAGCCTGGTCATTGATGGCGACGACCATGGTGAGCGTGGAGCCCAGGGGGACGATGCCGGTCACAGGGGACGCCCAGGGCCCCTTGCCGTCCTGAATCTCCATCCAGCAGTCCACGTTGTCACCTGCAACACAGCGAGCTCATACAATCCCGTCTGAATAGCTTTTGATTGACAGACAGACTTTAATAGTTAAAAAGGCTATCTATTAATGCATCTATTTATGAATTGTATACCTATTAATCCACTTACTTTCAATTACTACTCATTTAATCAATTTTCAATTACTTTTCATTAAGCTATTGTTTTTCAATTAATATTTATCAATTTATTTACTTTCAGTTACTGTTATCAATACATTTATTTTCAATCTGTTTCAATATTAACGTACTAGAAAGATTGTGTATTTTTACTCATATAATTAGAATAATATTCTAAGTATATCTTCACAACTAAAGAGGGCCTGGGCTTCTATATAATGCATCTACTCATATTCAAGAATGGGCATTGAATCTTTTTTACGTGTATTTTTTCACACTGAAGAATACCTTGCAAGCATCTACAGTATATCTATATTTATTCATATTCCATAAATCGCCTTGGTCATTTTAAAACCGGACCTATAAAGAAGTAAAACGGATAAGACCTCAAACATCTATTGCTAGAAAAAAATGAAGTAAAACGGTCATTTTTTTTTATAAGCACGTCTACTCCCTCAAAGATGAAATAAACAGACAAAAAATGTAAACACATCTATCTCTTCAAAGACGAAGTTAAACAGACTTTTTTATACGCACGTCTATTCCTACAAAGATGAAATAAAAGATAAAAAAAATGTAAACACATCTATTCCTACAAAAACAAAGCCAAACGGATAAGACGTCAGACCTCTGAAGTTGAGCTCGACGACCTCCAGATCGGCGATGACCATGGGCGGTTTGCTGGCAGTCTTCTCGTAGTCGTTGTACCACTCGCACCGCAGTCGCTTCGCCTCGTCCCAAACCTGTGGAAATGAGCGGGCGTGAATAATACCGCCAAGGAGATCTAACAATGATCAATTGAAAAAAAAATGATGGTGATATTGATAGGGAGAAAGGTGGTAGGTGGAAATAAATATGTTAAAAGATTAACTGAAAAAATGATTAAAAAAATAATAATAATAATAATGAAATGGTTGTGAAAACATGTGTGAATAAGTACGGGAAAGGAAATCCAGCAATAACCATTTGAAAAAAGAAAATGCATGTTAAAATATGTGAGCGTGAATAAATAAAAAGTTCAGTAAATCCGCAAATGACCAGTTGAAAACTCAAATAAGTTAAGATAAAAATAATTCCACCAAGGATCAATTAAAAAAATACTTTTATGTATTTAAGATGGGTGTTATACTTGTATCCTTACTGAACTGTGACTTCAATTCTACAATTAACATACTGATATCCTATTCCTTATACTCTCAACCTTGACTTCAGTTACACACGCCTTTCCTAGACTTTTATTAATATATTCCACCTTATAATATATATATATTTCCCATAAGAAAACCCTTCCAATAATAAATAAATAACGAACAACCAAGCCTAATAAAACAAAGTAAAGCGACATACAACAAAACAGCAAAGAAATAAAGCAAAAACATAACTAACAATAAATAAATAGCTCACTTCAATCAAAAATAAAGCAACAACAAAAACAAAAGAAAAAATTAAATAAATGAAATAACAATAGCAACAAGCAGAATGATAAAACCACTGACCTCAATCAAATCGGAATCGTACTGCACGATGATGGTGTTCTCGTAGAACTTGCCGCCCATGTCGGGCTTGGTGCCGCAGCCGTCGTAGTAGATCTGGAACTCGTAGTTGACGCCGCCGTCGCGCGGCCCCACGTACATGCAGTCGCCGTTCCCGTACTGGCCCTTGGAGAACACCAGGCCCTGCGGGGGAAGGGGAGAGTCAGGGGCAGAAGGAAGGGGAAAGGGGAAGGGGTGGGGGCAAGGGGGAGAGTCAGGGGAAGGAAGGGGCAAGGGGAAGGGGTGGGACAAGGAAAGGGGCAGGAGGGAGCAGGGGCAGAAGGAAGGGGCAAGGGGGAGAGTCAGGGGCAGAAGGAAAGGGGCAAGGGGGTAAGTCAGGGAGAAGGGAAAGGGGTGGGGCCAGGGACTGGGGATAGGGATGGTGGAATTGAGATGTGTGTCAGGGGCAGGGGGAAGGGACAGGAGCAGGGTCACTGGGATAGGGGGGTCAGGGTTAGGGAAGGGGCGTGTCAGAGGCAGAGGGAGCGGGAAGGGGTGGGGCGGATCAGTGCCAGGGGGAAGGTATTTTGGATTTTGGGTTGTGGTATTTTGCGGTATTTTGAAATTTTTTTTGGTTTATATTTGGGCTTTGGACTTGGTATTTTGCGGTATTTTGAAAGGTATTTTTGCATTTAAGAGTAGTATTTTGAAAGGTATTTTGGCTTTATGGACGGGTATTTTGTTATTTTTTAGCAATGTTACGTTTGTTATCAGTGTTAGATAGTTTGCCACAATAAGAAATTTGGTATAGGACGATATATTGTGTGTGTTGTATCTCCTATCTTTATAAGGACTTTTATACTCGGAAAGCAGGGTATCTTTGTAGCATTTGATAGTTTTATCATCAATCTCGTATTTTCTAGCAACACTGGTGACGGGTATTGGCGTGAACGAACCAACGTTGGGAAGAGCAGTAGAACACACGATTCTGCCGCCGGCATTTTCGCTTTACTACCTCTTCTGGGCATCATTCTTCATGCCCTGGAGAAGCAATGCAGCAGAAAGACTTTCCGGTAAGTCGTGTATTTTCGTGTTCTTCCCGTCGCTGTTTTGTTTACATTTCTTCGGCAGCGTATTGGTCTGTTTGTCATTACCGTTTTTCTTTATTCAATCATTTATTCTATAATTTTCCTTGTGTTATTTGTTTCTCTTTACTATTTATTTACTTTTTTATTCAGCTATACCATCGTCCTCGATCAAGAGAGCCACAGCCACAGTCAAAATTCTTATCAAACCTGTTTCGAATTCCGTTTCGAACATCCGTTTAATACCACACTTTCCGTGTTGGGAAAGGGAGATTCGAAGCTTCAATTCATTACAAAAAGGCAGATTCGAAGCTTTTAACTAATTGCACAAAGGCAGATTCGAAACTTCATTACAGAAAGCGAGCTTCGAAAGACAGATTCGAAGCTTCATTACAAAAAATTCGAAGCTTCATTCATTTCGAATTAAAAAAGCAGATTCGAAGCTTCAATTCATTACAAAAAGGCAGATTCGAAGCTTCAATTCATTACAAAAAGACAGATTCGAAGCTTCAATTCATTACAAAAGGCAGAAGCTTCGCAACGGCAGATTCGAAGCTTCATTACAAAAGGCAGATTCGACTGACATCGGCAGATTCATTCATTGAGAGACTCGTCCGCCACTGTACCTGGAAGGGCGCGGTGAAGGAGAGCTGGACGGTGAGGTGGTCCTTCCCGCACATCACCTCCAGTTGCCTGATGGACGGGAGGTTCGCCGGCCGCTCCAGGGCGAAGTCCGACAGGTAGCTCTGCGCGGTAGTCACCTGCGAGGGGAGAGGGGGAAAGGCGGTCATTAGTGGCAACTTGAGAGGCAATTGAGTCGAGTAATAGAGGTAGCTACACGTCGGAACATGTTAGCAAATTAAGTTGGATGCAGATTAGATAAAATGGAGATGAAGTCGGTGTCATGTTGCAAATTTGAATACCTGGTCACAACACCAACAACGTAACGATCTTAACTTCAGCAAAGTCGCAGTATGGACGAGACTAAAATCGTCCGTTTCCATCACGACTTTTTGGAAAAAAGGCCACAATTCGTAGAAGGCAAAGAAGCGAAATTTATGCAATGTGCAGCTCGCAGATAACGCATTCGTCAGGGCTGGGTGGCCAAGGCCTCGTGAGAGAGCAACTCTTAATGGATGCTCAGGTTCAGGACAAATGAGGCGTGAGCTCGTACCGTGAAGCTTGCAAAGAACTCCTACATTGTTGGTATTTTCACTCGGAAGCACGACAGCATGTAAATAATTCGAAGGGAAAATGGAAGAGAAATGGGCAGCACATCCAACACATTTTCTTTAGACTCTTTCACACTTTTTTACGCTCTTACATCTGCTTGGGAGCGGTTTTTCGTCGAACAGTAGACCACAACCACAACCACGGCAAAAGTTCGACCTGCAACAGCTGTCAGGCTTGAAAGAGAGCGAACAGAAGTGAGGAAGAACTACATCGGTTAACCGCGCGTTGTATTACTTAGCGGGAGACCGTAGAACAAGAGCTCCTTACATTACAGGAGTCAAGGCGAAACAGCTGATAAATGAGCCTGATTTAAGCCTTGAAAATACAGATTAAGGCTCCTGTACGTTTGTCAAAATTTAGCTCTTGTATTGCCTAGATTATTTTGAAAAAATAGGAGATAAGGTAAGGTTTTGTCTTTTTCCCCTTTCATTTACCGCTAAACACATATATCTGTTGATAACATTTACCCGCGGGACAATACGCTGAGAAAAATGAACTACTTTGAACAAATCTGTCAGGGCCTACAGAAAGAGAGGAGAGAGAGAGAGAGAGAGAGAGAGAGAGAGAGAGAGAGAGAGAGAGAGAGAGAGAGAGAGAGAGAGAGAGAGAGAGAGAGAGAGAGTGAAGAGAAGAAGAAGAGAGAGAGAGAGAGAGAGAGAGAGAGAGAGAGAGAGAGAGAGAGAGAGAGAGAGAGAGAGAGAGAGAGAGAGAGAGAGAGAGAGAGAGAGAGAAGAAGAGAGAGAGAAAGAGAAAGAAAAGAAAGAAAGAAAGAGAAAGAAGAGACCATGAGATCCATTACACACGAAACAAAGCCTAAACATTCTTACCCTCACACAAATCAGTCCACTTAGAATTACGAAGAAAGGGTGCAGTAAACTTTTTTCTCCCAATAAGCATGCTAGGGAACCGCAAAAGGAAAAGGAACGAGATAAAAAAATGAATATATGTTTAGAAATCGAAACCGGAAATAAATTACTTTCCCTCTGACGGCACATCCGGAACGTTTTATATATATATATATATATATATATAATTATATAATATGTAGCTTTCTCATTAATAATAATATATATATAATATGAATAAAATTCAGAAAAAATAGAAAACAATCGTGCTAACTCGAGAATTGATACAAAATTGGTATATTTTCCCCCCAAGAGAAATTAATTATTCATAAGTCCAGATAATTTAACTGTACCTTAAAAAATTATATCGCAATTAACTCCGACGGTAAAACTAACGTTGTTCATGGATGGGCGAAAGAGTGGCGGGATGAGGAGCTGTGGGAAAGGGCGACAGATGCGAGTGGCTTTCGTAGTACGAGAGAAAGGGGGGGGGGGGAGACGTGGGTGAAGGGGGGGGAGGGAGGAAGGGGGGAGGAGGGAGGGGGGAGGGGAGAAGGGAGAGGGAGAGGGGGAGAGGGGGAAGGGAGAGGGAGAGGGAGAGGGAGAGAGGGAGAGAGAGAGAGAGAAGAGAGAGAGAGAGAGAGAGAGAGAGAGAGAGAGAGAGAGAGAGAGAGAGGAGAGCAGAGAGAGAGAAGAGAAAGAGAAAAAGACGAGAGGTGAGAGATAAAGAGAGAGGCAAGAGAAAAAGAGAAGAACGAGAGGTGAAGATACAGAGAGAGGCAAGAGAAAAGAGAAAGAGTGAGTGAGAGATAGAGAGAGAGAAATACCCCCCCTAACACACACACAAGCAAGGGGAA